AATCTCCAAATATTGTTTTTAAAAACGTTGGTAATGGTTTTGGATCTTATAAACTTTTGCTTTTCGAACTTCCCGCTCTTGTCAGCTACACTGACTTACTTGTCATGTGTCACTCTAAAGGGAAACCACAATCAAAAACGTGCAACCATACACAAAATGGCTGCACATCATTCATCACTTGTTGGTCTTCCACAAATTTAAAGAAATATTAACTTAAACTTAAAAAACATCTTTCGATGTGATTGTAATTTGAGAGGACACAGCCTTTGCATGGTGCACCAGCGAAAAAACCAAAGATCTTCCGATATTTTAATGTGTTATTTTAATTTGTAATGTGATGTTTCGTTCCTTTACACCTATATGTTCAACGAGAAGACTCTTTGTACAAACCTGACGAAGTGAGTAAATTTACTTTCTTTAGTAATTAATTTCTTCCTTTTGAATAATTTAAATTGATATAGATTAAATTTTCTAAGATTTCAGATAATTTAAAATTTTCAAATTTTCCAAAATTTCCAAACTTTCATTAAATTTTCCAGTATCTTCAGAAAGTGTTTTTCCTTACTTTCAGGTTGCACTGATGATGGCCACGGCCGAAAGCGCTTTGCACTGATATTTATTAAAGAATTTTGCACGGAATACAAAACTTTTTCATTCTTCATTACTCCTCAACGTGCACACAGCTCTACACCCTCTATTCTACAATACGATAGCACAGGGCTCGCGCGAGGGCTTCCGGTCGGGTGGTATTGCACTATGAGCTTTGTCATCTCGTAGTTGACAGGCCGTAGCACGTTGAAATAATACAGGGGAGCGTTCGCCGTTAAGTCGTAGCCGACCAGTAGCGTGGGGATTAGGGAATTTTGTTACAATATCTCAAAATCGTGGAAAAAGATTTGTTATTCGTTTGACTACACAAAATCTAGGCATCAAAGCTGGCAATAACTGCACCTACATGCAGCAGCGTCTCCATCGGTAGGTAAAATCGGCAATACACGATGTAATTATTAAATCCTTTATGTAAGTTACTGACAAGATGGCGAACATAGCAAATTCTAGCAACGTTCAAGAGCAAAAATCAATATCTGAAAGGAATCCAAATGTCAATGAAAATACTAATTATTTAAAACATTGATGATGTTTCCCTAAGAAGTGGATTTAGCCGAAAAATTGTATTAATTTGCTTTAATATATCTTAGAACGGGGATACTTTGTGAAAAGGGGGAAAATTTGTGACGTTGTGAAATTCAATTCAAATTAGCCAATACATTTCAAATCCGCGTGCGAAGCCAAATTCTTCTACCGGCAGGTGGAAGCACATACCTCACCCGCTACAAAGACCGCTCGGCAAGCTGGTACGCTCCCTTAGCAGCCTGATTCGAAAGGAGCATCTCGTTTTTGCAACTTTCTAGAAACGCCCAAACTTTCAACTGTACATCAGAACTTGAACACTCCTCAGAAAAATTCGTAAGAATTTCCAATTGCTTGGGTACTTGTCGGGATATCTACGTAAATACGCTTACGATTTAATAATTTAACACTTTTTTTTAACAATAAACAAAACAGAGTAACCTTACGAATTTCTGGCTGAATATGAGGGTTATATAAATACTCTATCGTATATGATATACAATAAAAGATTAAAATGTCCAAATCTGTATAGGTATATCCGTGTTTTTTAATGTCATAAAATTATCAAGAAAATATTTTTTGACATTTCCTATCCTATCACAAAGCTACCTACCCCACTACACGGGGTAAAATTGGGACACTTTCAAATTAAAAAAGCTGAATTATACTATTATTTTTTTAATTTTCTAGAATTGCCATTTTATAGCGAAAGAACGAAAATACATGGTGTATTTTTTTTAGAATTTTATGTGACAAAGAAATGTTTGAGAATTTCAAAAAACCTCAAAAGCTGTCACAAAGTATCCCCGTTTTATGGTAGTCTGAAAATACCTAAATCAGTAATATGAGAACATTTGTGTCTACTCTACTTTTTTTTTCATGAAGTATATAAAACAAGACGCGTACCCAGCCTCATCATGATTAGATTTCAAGCTTGTTGACACAAAAAGATAATAATTCTGGATTTTCAAAACCACCAGTGATGATTAGAATTTCTTCTATCTGTAATTGATTGACTGAGGGCCGATACTTTTGATCTCCATTAACGAATTTGACACGTTGTTAAATTTAACAAGGTTTTGCATGGACCAAGGTCTGTAAGTATGATGTGATGAGAGCACATTCTGATTATTTTTAACGGCTGTCAAATTCGAAAACAGAGACCAAAATTACCGGCACTGACAGGGCCGTATCTGGACCAAAATTTTGGGCGGGGCTAGACAAGTGGCAAAACAAATAGTTACACTAATAATAAAAATAGAAAAAATAAATGAGTATTTAACAACTGTTGTTTGTTTTTAAATTAAATATTATTATTTTTGGGGTGGTTTGAACCCCCCCGCCCCCAGATAAGAAGGCCCTGGGCACTGAATGTTTCAAAAGATCACAGCTCACAAATTTTAATAGGGATCGTTCATTTTCTGGCAATTTAAAAAATTTCGGAACTGCACTTTTCTATATGTATTTATTTATTTATTTATTTATTTATCTTCTAACGGTAAACCATTTACAACAAACAGATTAATATGAAATAATAAAGAATTGATTTGAAAAAATATCAACCGCCGTCATCCATCACAAAGCATCCCTAACACCTATTATAGTTCGGGGGCCGAGGCCCTTCTTTCCAAATCATTAATAACAAGCTAATACTTCCAAAGCAGCTTCATTTTACCGAGACGCCCAACTTTTTTCTCACGAAAATTGCGAAAACATCAGGTAGCTAACAGAGTGCGCAGGAGTAGAACATGTCGATTTGGTGACTATGCAAATTTTATTAATAACAGTTAATTATTTAGCTAAACGTTGACATAATTTCATAAATAATTTGAAACAACATTTGTCCCCCCCCCCTTCAAACATGTAACAATTACGTTACAAAAAAAATCATTTATAACCAATTGATTTTTTCACTGTAGGTTGGTACATAGTAGTAGAATTAAATGGTCACACTGTCCTACAAATATAGAGGTAACTATTTCCAGTCCTACACTCAAAGGTTGTCAATTTGACGATTTAGCTTTTTCCATTAATAACCGGCTAAATCTTCGTGAGCATCTTCATTTTGATAAGACGCCCAACTTTTCCTTTGCGAAAATTGCGAAAACAGGTAGCTAACTGAGTGCGCAGGTGTAAAACATGTCAATTTGGTGATTATGCAAATTTTATTAATAACAGTTAGTTTTTTTGCTAAATGTTGACATAATTTTATAAATAATCTGAAACAAAATTTGTCCGACAAAATGAATGGTTTGGTCTAGGATGTCCCCCCCTCAAACATATAACGTTTTATAAATAATTCGAAAATTCCATTTAACCACAAAATAATTTGTTTGCGGTCTGCAGTGTCTCCCTTCTCGAAAATGTAGCAGTTACTGGCTCAAAAAAAATGATAACCAGTTGATTTTTTTACTGTAGCTTGGTAAATATCACCAAAATGGGCCACTTTCACATTTTCAAAAAAATTCTTAAATTATTGTATCTCTCGTTCCAAACAAAAAACGCAAATTTTTGGAAATAAAACGATTTGAAAATCGAATTTTTAAATTGTTGCGAAAACGCGGACTTGGAAAATGTGGGGATGCCGAATTTCCCGTCAGTAATTCATTAGACAAGTCACTACCTAGAAACTATTCTTGTCGTTGAACTCATTTAAATTTCGTATTTTTAAATGTGGCATCAAAATCATGTATAGGTATCGGCTTTTGCCAATGAGACGGCGTCTCCAGTCACGTGATTTTTTGTTTAAATCTACTAGTTTTGAAGAGAAACTTCTTAGGCGGCGTACTGATAATTGGACGACAATGGAGAGTGATTTGAAAAACGCGTCACAGGCAAATTTCGTCACTCGAGACAGAAGAAAGATATAACGTAAATGTTACATAATTATTGTGAACCTGTTTCTGGTATTGTCTACCAGTGACAGAGATCTGATTGAAGAATTGTAATTGTCAATATATGATCTTATCTTTCAACTTTCAAAATATATTCAGTTCATTGAATAGAGTTTATTACTATTACATCATTACAATAATGTTATATGGTGGCAGCGGAAACGAGTGAAGAATTTGGTATAACATAAGTCAATTGAAATGGCAAATTTGCAAGCACCAAAATCATGAACCAGGGCTCGATCAGGCATTATCATGGAATAAATGGAGACAGGAAGTGGAGTTGTATTGGGTAGCTGCTGATATTGAAAAAGCTAAGGTAAAAAAACAAAGAGCTATGTTGTTACATCTCTTGAGTGATTATGGACTAGAAATTTATAACATATTATCCTTTGCTGGAAAAGATGATGAGCTTACTGTAGAAGTAATTTTGAATAAACTTACGAATTATTTCAATCCATATAAAAATGAAACATATACTAGGTTTTTATTTTTCTCTTGTAATCAAAAAGAAAACCAATCAAATGATGAATATTTTACTAAATTAAGACAGAAAGCGGAAGATTGTGGATTTGAAAATTTAAAGAATTCATTGATTAAGGATAGAATTGTGTGTGACATAACAAATGATATTCTTCCAGAGAAGTTGCTTAGTACGAGGGATCTCGATTTATCTAAATGTATAGATATTTGTAGGCAGAGGAAGGATCACGAAAACAAGTTAGAGCTATGTCTGTATTTCATCAAATAGTAATAATTTAGAGATTGACAGGTTGAATAAATTTAACAAATACGAAGCTAAAAATCCAAACTTCAAAAAATATTTAACAAATGATAAAAAATGTTATCGTTGCAATTCTTCCCATGATTTTGGCAACTGTCCAGCTTGGGGAAAAATATACGGTAAATGCAAAAACCGAAATCATTTTTCTTCATGTTGCAAGGTGAAGAAATTATATGAAGTTAAGGAAAAGAATAATGAAAGATGAGCAAGAATATCAAGAGGTATTAGCACTAGATATTATAACTGAAAAAGATTTTTTAAATATTGCCAAAATTGAAGCAAAATCTGTCAAGGACTGGACAGAGAAAGTATGTATAAATGAAACGCTTTTCATAGAATTTAAACTAGATTCTGGGATTGAAGCTAATATATTGCCTAAATATATATTTAATAAGTTGAATAATAAACTTGAAATAAAGGAAAATAATAAATCGTTATTAGTATACAATAAAAATAATCTGAATGTTTTAGGGGTTTGTAGATTATTATCCGCCAGGTATAACGATGTTAAAATGGATTTTGATTTCTACATTTTAGAAGAAAATTATGAGCCTATACTAGGATTCAAGAGTTGTATGCAACCTAATCTAATTAAGAGAGCATCGTGCATAGAAAATATGAAGGAAGACAAGAATTCTGCTCTAAAAATAATTGAAAAATATGATAACGTTTTCAAAGGCATAGGTTGCATTGAAAACCAATGTAAAATTAGACTTCAATCAAACTATGAACCCAACATTGCCAGATGCCGTAAACTTCCTTTAGCATTGCACGAACAAGTAAATAAGGCTATTGATCAAATGGAAAAATACGGAATAATTACAAAATTAGAAAAAGCAACAGAATGGTTGAATGCACTTGTTGTAACCTAGAAGAAAGATGGCTCAGTTCGTTTATGTATGGACCCAAGACCTCTGAACAAGTATATTATACGACAAAGACTTGAACTACCTACCATTGATACTATTTTTCCTTAATTGGCCAGGCCAAATGGTTTTCAGTGCTAGATGCTTCATGGGCTTTTTGGCAGATACCATTAGATGAAGATAGTTCGGACCTATGTTCTTTTATAACACCTTTTGGTCGATACAAATTCAACAGACTACCATATGGATTATCAAATTCACCAGAAATTTTTCAAGCATGTATATATTATTTTATTTGTGGTTTAAATGGAACTTTGGCATATATGGATGATATTATTATATTTGGCAATACATTAGAAGAGCATAATAACCCATTAGAAAAACTTTTTTATCCAGAGCACAAAATAAAAACATTAAATTTAAAAAAGAAAAGTTGCAATTAGCTAAAACAAAAGTATCTTTTTTGGGACATATTTTAACTGATAAAGGAATTGAAGTTGCCCATGAAAAAGTTCAAGCTATACAGAATATGAAAAGGCCAACAAATGTAAAGGAGTTGCAGAGTTTACTGGGAATAATTAATTATTGGTGCCGTTTTATTGAAAATGTTTCAGAAGAAACTGGTTCGCTTAGATTATTATTAAATAAAAATACAGTTTGGACTTGGGACGATAACTCCCCACAAGAAAAAGCATTTGTCCGATTAAAACAATTAATAAGTAATGCTCCAGTTTTGACTTATTACGACCCTGCTCAACCAATAATTTTATCGACTGATGCTAGTCGATATGGATTAGGTGGCTACATTAGTCAGAATGATCACCCTATCGCATATTGGTCTATGTCGCTTAATTCTGCTCAGAGAAATTATGCACAAATAGAAAAAGAGTTAATGAGTATAGTTTTGGGATGTGAACATTTTCATTATTACCTGTATGGTCGTCCATTTAATGCTATAACTGACCATAAACCGCTTTTGGGAATAGTAAATAAGGCAATTGACTCTTTATCTCCGAGATTGCAAAGACTGACAATAAGATTATTGAAATATGATTTTACCTTAAAGTATTTACCTGGGAAAGATATGTTTATTCCAGATACTTTATCAAGAACACCATTAAATACTGAAAAAACAACAGATTTTTTAGATGATTTTCAAGTTAGAACAATAATAATGGCTTCAGATAAAAAATGCAATGACATACTAGAAAGTAGGTACTTATGCAGATCCAGAACTTGTTGCAGTAAAATATTATTTAAGAAATGGTCGGCCTAATCGAATTTCTTCAGTTAAACCAGAAGCAAAACCATATTACCAATATAAAGATGAAATTTTTGAATTGGATGGATTTTTATTTAAAGGTACCTAGTAGACTTATAATAGATCAAAAGATCATAGACTAGATGTATTAAATAAGATACATTCTGTCCATCAAGGGATTATTTCCTGTCAGAAAAAAGCTCAAGATTCAGTGTTTTGGCCTAGTATCAACGAAAATATTTCAAACATGATTTCATCTTGTTTAACCTGTTTAAGATCCAATGAAAAGCAACCTTTACAACAGCATCAAGTACCAGAATTGCCTTGGGAGAAAATCGGTATGGATTTTATGCAAGTAAAGGGAAGAGATTATTTCGTCATTTGTGACTATTATTCCAAATTTATTGAACTAATACCATTAACCAGAAAAAATTCCAATGCAACTATTGAAGCTTTATTAAGTGTTTTCAAATCTCATGGTTTACCAGTGACAATAATTTCAGATAATGATCCCCCTTTTGATGGGAAAGATTTTCAAGAGTTTTTATGTCAGCACGATATCACTCATATAACATCTAGTCCAAAATACTGTCAGTCTAATGGATTAAATGAGAGGCATATTGAAACTATAAAAGGTATGATAGTTAAATGCCCAGAAAAACATCCTTACATCATTGTAATGGAATATAATAGTACACCCAAACAGTTTCTTGAATCACCATCTGAAATGTTAATGGGAAGAAAGTTTAGGACCGACTTACTTTGCTCAAGGAACAAATTAAAACCAAATTTTAATACTGAACAACATATTGAAATGTTACATGCAAATCAAGAACGAGATCAGCACTACTACAATGCAAACAAAAAACCACTCGCTCCATTATCTAAAGGACCAGTAATGATACAACAGTCTGTAAGGAAGTTGGTCACTGGTAAAGTTGTTAATGAAGACAGAAATCCCAGTTACGTTGTCCAGTCTGAGGATGGTGGTATTTATAGAAGAAATAGATATCATCTTCGTCCACGTCCAATACCAAATGTACTTTTGAATTCTCCCATTAGAACTGGTAAACCCAGTACCTAATGAAGTTTGGTATAATTTTATTTAGATTAGTTTCTGTTTATTATTGACTATATTGTTTTAACTTTAGGGAGGGCATGTTACATAATTATTGTGAACCTGTTTCTGGTATTGTCTACCAGTGACAGAGATCTGATTGAAGAATATCATTTTATTAGTTGACATTCGAAATTATTATACATGATACAATACAACTATAAAAAAATACTAAATATAAAATAACAAAATATAAGATATAAAACATAAAATATAAAACAAAACATCAAATATAAAAAATTTCCTCCAAACCAGATCCTACTGGAAGGGTCCCAAGCACTGATGCTGCATTTCCCCTTTGTAATGCTAGACTATACTTTGGGTAATGAAGCTAAATGCCTTTGGATGATTGATTTTCTGACAAATTTGTTTAATTAATCTTCTAGCTTCATTACCCCAAGGTCCGAAAGTTTCAACAGCAAAAGGAACAAAAAGAAAACCTCGGTCCTGTAGTTCTTTATATTTCAGCATTTTTTGTGTTCCCTCAATTCTTGCTGCTTCGCCAGCTTTAATCGATGTCTTTGATAAGTAAGTTTGACATAAAGTATCTCGGCACGTGGCATCCCAAAGTAATGCTTTACGACTCTTCCAAGGCAACAGAGACATTCCATCCACACGTTTGCCATCACTTCTACATATACCAGGTGGCTCTAGTATGGAATATCTGCTGATGCTAACGAGCGCTTTATTATATCATTGATCAACCTGTGACGGGTCACTCGACCTGCACTTTTTTTGCAACACAGGGCATGAAACCCAAATTTATCAACTTGGTTGTTGCAAGTGCAGATGTGTGGCATGCACACAGGTTAGCAAGCTCGAAGAGCAACTGAAATTTTAAACGACGCGTCATCTGACAAGTTACCGCGATTCGAAGAGGGTAAAGCATTCAGCCAAGCACCACTTTCCTCTTCCTGTAAAGCAATGATCCTAATCCTTGAAGAATTGTAATTGTCAATATATGATCTTATCTTTCAACTTTAAGCATGTGTGGCATGCACACAGGTTAGCAAGCTCGAAGAGCAACTGAAATTTTAAACGACGCGTCATCTGACAAGTTACCGCGATTCGAAGAGGGTAAAGCATTCAGCCAAGCACCACTTTCCTCTTCCTGTAAAGCAATGATCCTAATCCTTGAAGAATTGTAATTGTCAATATATGATCTTATCTTTCAACTTTCAAAATATATTTAGTTCATTGAATGCAGTTTATTACTATTACATCATTACAATAATGTTATAGTAAAGGGACGGTAAAGACAGCTATTGATTGACACTAACCAAGGATTATATGCGCAAAGAGGAGTGCCTATTATAAACAAGTGCCGATATTGACACAAACCAAAGATTATAAGCGTAAAGAGGATTGCCTATTATTGAGAAGCGCCGATACTCTTGTCACCTCACTACAGATGCTCTTCTCCCTTTTGTTATATTATTATCATTATGTTTTGTGATTATTTTCGGTATTTATACATTTGTGTGCTGCGATTTTTTTAAACTATATCCGTGAACCTACATTATGTAAGTATCTTAAAATTGATGTGAAAATTTTGGGTTAATTTTCTTCGCTATAATAGGAGAAAACTAGTTTCCCCTATTTTGAGTTTTCCCAACTAACTGATTTTTGGTTGGCCTATTAGATGGTCAATACTTTTACAGCAAAAGTGCTGTTTAGTGCTGAATCCTAGTCTTGGATGGCGCCAAGATCAAATTTCGCTCGTCGTATATTAAAATTATTCAAATATTATTAAAAACGATATTAGAAACGGAGAAAAAAAGCCATTGATTGCCACAAATCAAGGATTATAAGCGCAAGGAGTTGTATGAGGGGAATATAGTTTTTAAGAAGTTTTACTTCTACACGAGTACGGGGCTGCACATGATTTTTTTTTCTATTATTTATTAATTTATTTAATGATCTGACTGAAATCTTGGAAAATATTGTTCATTCTCGGTTACATCCATGTATCTGTGTGAAAAATGTGGTAATTTTCCATATTCCCGGTACGTGAAATTTGCCTATTAAATGGTCACACTGATGTCCTACAAATAAAGGGGTAATATTTCTCAGTCTTACATTCGAAAATTTCGAAATTAGCCCATGCCTTATGCATACATATATTTATACGTAAATATGTACATATATACAGGGGTCCTATTTTCGAATATTTTCGCATACGAAATTTGATACGATTTCGAATGCTCCCCATTTAATTTACATTGCTGTCATTCAAATTTCGTGTACGAAATGTACTCGAATGGTTTCGAAAATAGCACCCCAGGGTGTCCACTTATATCGCAACTAAGTGGACACCCTGTATATGTAGTTGACATTATACAGGGTGGAATTTTTAAATGGAATAAATTCAGTATCAGAAGGCCTGTTTATTTTCTGGCAAAATAAAAAAAAACGGGTCCCTTTATTTTTAGTTTGGCACATTTTTTCGGTCTTTTCATGAAATTTACCCCTCTCTTAAGGGTAGAAACCACCCCCAACTTTTTTTTTTCAAATGTAAAGATTGTATTGTGATAG